CATTTAGATCTTTAATCCATTTTGAGTTTATTTTTGTGTATGGTGTTAGAAAGTGTTCTAGTTTCATTCTTTTACAAGTGGTTGACCTGTTTTCCCAGCACCACTTGTTAAAGAGGTTTTCTTTTTTTCCATTGTATATTCTTGCCTCCTGTGTCGAATATAAGGTGTCCGTAGGTACGTGAATTTATCTCTGGGCTTTCTATTCTGTTCCATTGATCTATATTTCTGTCTTTGTGCCAGTACCATACTGTCTTGATGACTGTGGCTTTGTAGTAGAGCCTGATGTCAGGCAGGTTGATTCCTCCAGTTCCATTCTTCTTTCTCAAGATTACTTTGGCTATTCTAGGTTTTTTGTATTTCCATACAAATTGTGAAATTATTTGTTCTAGTTCTGTGAAGAATACCATTGGTAGCTTGATAGGGATTGCATTGAATCTATAGATTGCTTTGGGTAGTATAGCCATTTTGACAATATTGATTCTTCCAATCCATGAACACGGTATATTTCTCCATCTGTTTGTGTCCTCTTTGATTTCTTTCATCAGTGTTTTATAGTTTTCTATGTATAGGTCTTTTGTTTCTTTAGGTAGATATACTCCTAAGTTTTATTCTTTTTGTTGCAATGGTGAATGGTATTGTTTCCTTAATTTCTCTTTCTGTTTTCTCATTGTTAATGTATAGGATTAACAAGGGATTTCTGTGTGCTAATTTTATATCCTGCAACTTTACTATATTCATTGATTAGCTCTAGTAATTTTCTGGTAGAGTCTTTAGGGTTTTCTATGTAAAGGGTCATGTCATCTGCAAACAGAGAGAGTTTCACTTCTTCTTTTCCTATCTGGATTCCTTTTATTTCTTTTTCTGCTCTGATTGCTATGGCCAAAACCTCTAACACTATGTTGAATAGTAGTGGTAAGAGTGGGCACCCTTGTCTTGTTCCTGATTTTAGGGGAAATGCTTTCAATTTTTCACCATTGAGGATAGTGTTTGCTGTAGGTTTGTCATATGTAACTTTTATTATGTTGAGGTATGTTCCGTCTATTTCTTCTTTCTGGAGACTTTTTATCATAAATGGATGGTGAATTTTGTCAAAGGCTTTTTCTGCATCTATTGAGATAATCATACGGTTTTTATCTTTCAATTTGTTAATGTGGTGTATTACATTGATTGATTTATGGATATAAAGGAATCCTTGCATTCCTGGATAAAGCCCACTTGGTCATGATGTATGATCTTTTTAATATGTTGTTGGATTCTGTTTGCTAGAATTTTGTTAAGGATTTTTGCATCTATGTTCATCAGTGATACTGGCCTGTAGTTTTCTTTTTTTGTGGCATCTTTGTCTGGTTTTGGAATTAGGGTGATGGTGGCCTCATAGAATGAGTTTGGAAGTTTACCTTCTTCTGCAAGTTTCTGAAAGAGTTTGAGTAAGATAGGTGTTAGCTCTTCTCTAAATTTTTGGTAGAATTCAGCTGTGAAGCCATCTGGTCCTGGGCTTCTGTTTGCTGGAAGATTTCTGATTACAGTTTCGATTTCCTTGCTTGTGATGGGTTTGTTAAGATCTTCTATTTCTTCCTGGTTCAGTTTTGGAAAGTTGTACTTTTCTAGGAATTTGTCCATTTCTTCCAGGTTGTCCATTTTATTGGCATAGAGCTGCTGGTAGTAATCCCTTATCATCCTTTGTACTTCAGTGTTGTCTGTTGTGATCTCTCATAAGGGAGCATTCTAGAATGAGGTTCCTCATAGTATTAATCATGGTTATCTCTGGGTGGTAGAATTTGTGTTAAGGTAAACAAAAACTTGTGTTTTTATGCATTGTTTAAATTGTTTTACACTGAGCATAAATCTACAAAAATAAGGGTGGCATTTTACAAAGAAAATAAAAAAGAAACTAAGTTGGAAAGAAGACATGAAAGGTGGAAAGGTTTAGCATGTTGAGCCAGGATTTTGCTTCTCTAAGTGGACTAGTTTATTCCCTGTGATGTATCTGATTGATAGGATATCCTCTGATCCTTCAAGTTTGTTGTGAAGACTTGTATGTGCTGGATCAGGTGAGAGTTTGTGACTGTGTTTTGCTTGAGGGGACATATATTAAGAGAAGAAGGGGAAAGTATGGAGAAGCAAGGAGAAGAGGGACATCTGTGTGGCAAAGAGCAAAGACAGAACAAATCTGGTGTTGACAGCAAACCCTGAATGCTCATAAGTTGTCTTGGGAAGAACAACTTTATCCATAAAAGAACAATATACTTGTGATGGGCACTCACTCTGTCAGCCCAGAGTGCCTTGAATATCTTCTATAATTGCACTTGCTGCATTGAACTGAAATCTGTTCGGTTCTCCCTCCCTCTTAACAGACTTCCAAGCAGGTCCTGGCTATCTAGCTCATTACATTGGCTATCTAGCTCCCAACATGTAGCAGGGTTTAATAATCTGAAAAATAAAATAGCTTAAATTATTTTTTAAACTAGTGTCATTCACAACTGAAAATATTTATGCATCCTAACATTCAACTGAGTAATTTATTCAAATGAAAGAGGGAATTAAAAATGTGTATATTTTATGGAAAAAATTGGAGAAACTGCCCAAAGATGCTTTTTGAAAGGTTTAAATCTATCATTTGTTTCCCATTTGTCACATCTGTTCTTTGTTCACCTTTTCCTTTTTTCTGCCTTTTTTTTTTTAATTACTTGAAAAAAATTTCTAAGATTCTAATGTTTTTACTTACTTTCTTTATTTTTGGTTAAAGTGATTGCATTGGGGCTTATAGTATACATCTTAAGCTTATGACAACCTGGCAATATTACTTTAAGTAATATTACTGGGCTTCCCTGATAGCTCAGTTGGTAAAGAATCCGCCTGCAGTGCAGGAGACCCTGGTTTGATTCCTGGGTCAGGAAGATCCCCTGGAGAAGGGATAGGCTACCCACTCTAGTATTCTTGGGTTTACCTGGTGGCTCAGCTGGTAAAGAATCTGCCTGTAATGTGGGAGACCTGGGTTCGATCTCTGGGTGGGGAAGATCCCCTGGAGAAGAGAAAGGCTACCCACTCCAGTATTCTGGCCTGAAGAATTCCATGGACTGTATAGTCCATGGGATTGCAAAGAGTTGGACACAACTTTCACTTCACCCTAATTCATGTAGAAAATAGTCTTATATTAATATATTTCCATTTCTTCTCTTTTGACCTTTGTGCTGTTATTCTCATATATTTTACTTCTAGATTTGTTAGTAACTGTATAGTCATTGTTATTATGTTTGCTTTAAATGGTCAATTAGTTATTTAAAATGTAAGAAAAATTGTATTTATCTACATATTTAACATTTTTCATACTCTATTTCTTTTTGTAGATCCAGATTTCTATCAGATTTCTATCTCTTCTACCTAAAGGACTTTCTTTACCATTTCTTATTTTAGTGAGCCTTTTTTTTTTTTTCCTTTTTTTTTGACTGCATGGCTTGTGAGATCTTAGTTCCCCGACCAGGGATTGAACCCATGCCCCCTGCAGTGGAAAGATGGAGTCCTAATCACTGGACCTTCAGGAAAGTCCCTCTTTATCTTTCTTATATGTAAGTTCACCCTTGATGAATTCTTTCAGCTTTCGTATGCCTAAAAGTCTTTATTTCATTTTGTTTTCAAAAAATATTTTTGTTGGGTATAGAATTCTAATTTGGCAGTGTATATGTGTGTATATATATATATGTATATATACACACATATATATATATATATACACACACACACACATATATATATATATATGGGAGAAGGAAATGGCAATCCACTCCAGTATTCTAGCCTGGAGAATCCCGTGGACAGAGGAGCCTGGTAGGGTGCTGTCCATGGGGTCACACAGAGTCGGACATGACTGAAGTGACTAGCATGCACTGCATGCATTGTAGAAGGAAATGGCAACCCACTCCAGTATTCTTGCCTGGAGAATGCCAGGGACAGAGGAGCCTGGTAGGCTGCAGTCTGTGGGGTTGCACAGAGTCAGACATGACTGAAGTGACTTAGCCGCATATATATATATATATATATATATATATATATATATATATATGTATATATCTATTTTTTTAAGTTTATTTTTTAATAAACTGTTTTTTATTTTTTAATAAACTATTCTGCATTGTTCTTAATGAGAAGCCTGCTAGCGTCCCTATCTTTTCTCCACTCTACTCTATGTGTCTTCCTTCTCTAATTTCCTTGGCTTTATTGAAGTCTCAACTTCTCTTTAAATTAGACACACTGTTTGGTTTCGTCTGAGTCCCTTCTCCCTCCCCAGTATCCAAAAAACTCAAAAGGTATAAGCTAGGGCATTTATAGAACTCACCTTATTTATTTATTCTTCTTTCTGGAATTACTATTCTATGTTGCCTGTTATTCAATATCTCAAAGCAATTATTTCATTATTTTTTCTGACTTTTTTCAGTTGTTTAAGGAAGAAGCATAAACCTGATCTCTGTTAATCTGTACTGGCTGGAAACAGAAGTTTGAAATATTGAATCAAAAAAATAAATACCTAAAACCAACTTCTTATTGCAAAACTTCTCCTCAAAATGGATTCACATTTTGCAGTAGCTTAGAATTATGAGGTCATTTTTAAAAATTTGTTTAGTGTTTGACATTATCTCTTTTTCTTACAGGATACATTCAACTGGATTTTTAAATCATTGTAAGCCAGTGATGGATCAGAAGTTACAGAATGCAATGCCGAATAAAAGTCTTCGAAAGAATTGCTTCAAAGAACCAAAAACAGAAAATTGATCTACTTCCTTAATACCTTGATCTAGAAAAACATACTGCACATGGTAGGAAGTGATAACTGGGAAAGTTTATTTGGGTCTTAATATACCTAAGTGATAGGAACTGTCACTTTATTTCTCAGAGGGCTTATACACCTGGGATTATGTTAAAAACCAGTAGTTTTATTAACATCTTGACATGATCACAAGAGAGGAGAAACAGAGGGCTAGCTGAAACCCTGCACCTTGGTCAAGATGACTTCTGAAGAAACGGCAGGTTCTGTTCTCAGACCTGTGAGTCAGAGAAAAGTGATCTCTGCTCAGTCAACTGTAGATGAAAGTAATGATAAGGTCTCAGACATCAATGTTCCAAAGTCTCATCCTGTCAGGCAGAGTGGGGAGACTTCTCATACCATCTCGCAACTGACCAAACTTACAGAAGGATCTTCTGGAAGCAACGTGCCCCAGATTTTCTCAGTAGCAAGGGAGAAAATCACCAGTGATGAGAACAGTAATGAAAATTGCTGGGAGAAAAGCATGCCAGATTCTGTGAAAAACCTTAACATTAACTGCAACAGCATATTGAAAAACCATCAGCATGGCCCTCCTCAGAGCCAGTTTTATGAAACGTGCAATTCTATCACAGAGGAAGGTCTGTGTTTGGAAACTGGAATCCCTTCTTCACTGGAAGGAAAGATGTTCCCTGGAATTCAACTGGAAATAGACAGACCTCCCATGGGCATTAGTCCATTAGGAACTCAGTCAGCCATCATAGAGACAAGAAGGGCACACCCTGAAAGCAACATGGCAGTATTTCACTTGCATTACGAGGTTGACAGAAGAATGTCAGACAGTTTCTGTCCCCTATCAGATAACTTGATTTTGGATGATTGTGGAAACTGTGTACTACCTGCTGTTGGTGAGGAACAAGAGAAAAATTACATGGCATATACTTGCAAACTGATGGAATTGACAAGTAACTGTGACAATAAGAATAGGCAGCTGCAGTGTGATCATTGTGACCCCTTGAATGACAAATACTTGTGCTTTGAAGGCTCTTGCCCAAAGGCCGACGTGGTATGTTCAAGTGACAGCTTTTGCAGGGAGGATTTTACTGACAGTCCACCTGCCAAGACCTTTCTGAGCCATTTTGAGGACTTCCCTGATAATTGTGAAGATGTAGAAGAAGATTTGTTTAAAAATAAAAAGGAGCGGTCTGCTTGGTTAGTGAGGAGATTTTGCAAAAATGACAAGGAAGTTAAGAAATCTGTGTTTACTGGGACAAGGGCAATTGTGAGAACTTTGCCTTCTGGTCACATTGGACTGGAGGCTTTGAGTTATATTGATCAGAAGAAAAATGGTCTCTTATTGCCTCCTGGGAGAGTCATGGAACGGCTGTCAACAGTGGTTAGGCAAGATGGTTCCCAAGGTCTGTCAGAAGCCCAGTGGTATCCGGTAAGAGTTAAAGTTTCTTTTAATCCATTTTTCAAAGTTGATTTTTTAAAACTCCAAATCTCCATTGTCTTAATTCATGGGAAATGTTTAGTTCTGGCCAATGATTCTTACGGGAAGCATTTATAGTTACTGGAAATTAGTAGACCTAACAGATAACTGGATTTGATAGCTGTCAAGACTGAGTTAATTCCACAGCAACATAAGTCATAAAATACACATAAATATGTGCTCAGAAAAGTTAGGGAGAGTCCCTGATTACTGTATGCGGGCTTATAAAACAGAAACTCCTAGGAGTGGGAAAATGGTTCTGCCAACTGATTATTCAGCTCTATCCTTCAGAGATATGCCTGTCCCCTTCTGCCATGGAGTTCCTCATTGTTTTTAGATTGGAAAGCTTAAAAGAACTTAAATCTCATTTTCTTTCTTTTTTTTTCTTTTTATTTATTTATTTTTCATTTATTTTTATTAGTTGGAGGCTAATTACAATATTGTAGTGGTTTTTTGCCATACACTGACATGAATCAGCCATGGATTTACATGTGTTCCCCATCCCATCCCTCTGGGTCTTCCCAGTGCCCCAGCCCTGAGCACTTGTCTCATGCATCCAACCTGGGCTGGTGATCTGTTTCACACTTGATAGTACACTTGTTTTAAATCTCATTTTCTCTGTTCAATTCCTCTAGCCAGTGCTTCCTGTTTCTTCCCTCTTAACCCTTTTTATGCCATGGCCCTCTTTGGTTATTTGGTGAAGTCTTTAGGTTGAGAAGAACACTTTTAAATGCATCAAATGAAATACAAAGGATCATAAAGGACACAGATTATGTGGATAGACATATAGCAAAATATTTTTGAAATTGTAATATAGCAGGGTACTTCTTTATTAACACACTAAATAATGGCAGCTGATGATGTGATAACTACCATAACTTCAAGGTAGTGAAGAATGTTAGTAGGGAATGGTTTACCTGGGACTTTGCCAGTTTTAGCAGTGCAAGTCCCATATTCTGGGAAGCCACTCAGTTTTGGACAAACCAAGACAAGCTAATTAATTAGTTACCTTAATTATAAATACTATTTTAGAGTCTCTTCCATGACTATAATATATGGCAATATCTGTGATTTCTATTGGTGACAAAATCACAGGTACTGCTAGTGTTACTGAAGTTTGTTGCTTACATTCATAATGGAAGGAAATGCTAAACTTCTGTTTGAGGTTAATAAAAGAATTTTTTCTCATTCAAATTTCTGGACTCTCTGAGTTCTATCCATAGTTCTCCCTCTTTAAGATTCCTGCTCTGGAAATGCACTCAATTAGCTGCGCACTCTTAGACCTGATCTTTGCATCAGAAGCCAGCACCATGTATTCTCTTGTTTTTGTTTTTTTTTTTCCTTCTGTGGCTAAGTAGCCCTATTTTCTTCAACTGATCTTAGTGGAGAAGCTGTTTCTATAACTTTTGCATTCCAGTTTTACACAATTCCTTAAAACCTGGCCCTGAAAATAAACCCAATCTAAAAGAACATCCTTTTATTGATCTATGACTAGTATATTTTTATTTTCATCATCATCAATTGTGGGAACTAATATTTATTGTGAATTTAAATATGCCAGTCACTGGACTGAATAACTTACACACTTCATTTCATGAAATCATCTCAACTACTTTCTGGTGTGGTCTGATTATTCACCCCATTGTATCATTAAAAAAACAGAGTCTAAAGGAAATTCTATACCTTCAGTTCAGTTCAGTGCAGTTGCTTAGTTGTGTCTGACTCTGTGCGACCCCATGGATTGTGGCATGCCAGGCTTCCCTATCCATCACCAACTCCTGGAGCTTGTTCAAACTCATGTCCATTGAGTCGGTGATGCCATACAACCATCTCATCCTTTGTCTTCCCCTTCTCCTCCCACCTTCAATCTTTCCCAGTATCAGGATCTTTTCTAAAGAGTCAGTTCTTTGCATCATGTGGGAGTTTCAGCTTTAGCATCAGTCCTTTCAGTGAATATTCAGGACTGATTTCCTTTAGGATTGACTGGTTGGATCTCCTTGCAGTCCAAAGGAGAACTCTCGAGTCTTCTCCACTATCATAGTTCAAAAGCATCAATTCTTCAGCACTCGGTTTTCTTTATAGTCCAACTCTCATATCCATACATGACTACTGGAGAAACCATAGCTTTGACTAGACAGACCTTTGTTGACAAAGTAATGTCTCTGATTTTTAATATGCTGTCTAGGTTGTTCATAACTTTTATTCCAAGGAGAAAGCATCTTTTAATTTCATGGCTTCAGTCACCAACTGCAGTGATTTTGGAGCCCAAGAAAATAAAGTCAGCCACTGTTTCCCCATCTATTTGCCAGGGACTGGATGCAGGATCTTCATTTTTTGAATGTTGAGTTTTAAGCCAGCTTTTTCACTCTCCTCTTTCACTTTCTTCAAGAGATTCTTTAGTTCCTCTTTGCTTTCTGCCATAAGGGTGGTGTCATCTGCATATCTGAAGTTATTGATATTTCTCGGGGCAGTGAACCTATGTGTAATGATGATGACAAACCCAGTGAAAACCAAATCATCTATCACTAGCATTCATGCCCACTAGAATTCAAAATGGAAAAATAGAGCTGTGCAGAAGAACAAGGGAGTTCAATATATACTAATCAAGAAAGATGTTCAAGAAGATAACAAATGAAAAAAATATAAAGCACAAGTTTCCAACCATCTTCTATTGAGGTATAATGTACACATCATTTTAAAGTATACAAATCCATGCTTTTTAGTACATTCACAAGGTGGTGCACCTATCGCAACTATCTAATTCCAAAATAATTTTAACACCTCAAAAAGAAACTCTTGGGGCTTTCCTGATGGTTCAGTCATAAACAATCTGCCTGCCAATGGAGGAGACATGGGTTCAATCCCTGATCCAGGAAGATCCCACGTATGAAGAGCAGCTAAGCCCATGCACTGCAGTTATTGAGCCTGTGCCCTGGAGCCCAGGAACTGCAGCTACTGAAGCCCCCACACCCTAGAGTCTGTGCTGCATAACAAGAGAAGCCACTGCAATGACAGGCCTGCATACCACGGCTACAGAGTAGCCCCTGCTGGCCACAATTAGAAAAAAAGCCCAAGCAGCAATGCAGAGCCAGCTCAGCCAAAAATAAAGATAAATAAGTAAATAAATAAGAAACTCCTTAACCATTAGTGACCACTCTCTATTCCTCCCCTTCCCCTGGCAACCACCAGTCTGCTTTTGGTCCCTGTGGATTTGCTAATTCTGGACATTTCCTACAAGATCTGACTTCTTGTGACTGGCTTCTTTCACTTAGCATCATGTTTTCCAGGTTCATCCATGTCATAACATATATCAGAACTGTATTCTTTTTTATGACTGAATAATATTCTACTATATGGATGCACCAGATTTACTCACCCATTCATCAGCTAAAGGACAAAAATGGGTTGTTTCCACTTTGGGGCTGTTATCAATAATGCTGCTATGAATGTTCCTGGACAAGTTTTAGAGTGAACATATGTTTTCATTCCTCCTGGTAAGATACTTAGGAGTGGGATTATTGGGTCGTATGGTAACGCCATGTTTAACATCTTCGGGAAGGAACAAAACGTTTTCCAAAACCACTGGTCCATTTTATATTCTCACCAGTAATACATGAGAATTTCAATGTCTCCACATCCTCAACAACACTTGTTACTATTCATTTCATTTATGAAAGCTATCTTAGTTGGTGTGACCTGGTAATTCATTGTGGATTCAGTATGCATTTCCTTAATAACTACTGACGTTGAAAAGTTTTCTATTTCCTTGTTGGCCATTTATATATCATCTTTGGAGAAATATCAATTCAAATCCTTTCCCCATTTAAAAAAATGGGTTTTTTTTTTGCCTATTTATTGTTGCATTGCAAGGCTTCTTCATATATTCTTACCAAATATGTGATTTGCAGATATACTCTGTTGATGGGCTTTCACCTTTTTGATACTGTGCACTGATGCTCAGAACATTTTAATTCTAATGAAGTAAACAGTTTATCTACTTTTTTCCCTTTGGTAGCTTGTGCTTTTAGTGTCATATGTAAGAAATGATTTCCTAATTCATGAAGACTTACGCCTATGTTTCCTTCCCAGATTTTAATAGTCTTTGCTGTTGTTGCTGTTCAGTCATTGTGTCTGACTCTTGGTGACCCCATGGACTGCAGCACACCAGGCTTTCCTGTCCTTCGCTCCCTCCCAGAGTTTGCTCAAACTCATGCCCATTGAGTCAGTGATGCCATCCAACCATGTCATCCTCTGTCATCCCGTTCTCCTACCCTCAATCTTTTCCAGCATCAGGGTCTTTTCCAATGAGTCAGCTCTTGCATCAGGTGGCCAAAGTATTGGAGCTTCAGCTTCAGGATCAGTCCTTTCAGTGAATATTCAGGGATGATTTCCTTTAGCATTGACTAGTTTGATCTTCTTGCTTTCCAGGGGACTCTCAAGAGTACTCCAGCACCACAGTTCAAAAGCATCAATTCTTTGGCGTTCAGCCTTCTTTATGTTCCAACTCTCACATCCGTACATGACTACTGGCAAAACTATAGCGTTGACTGTATGAACCTTTGTTGGCAAAGTGACGTCTCTGCTTTTTAGTGCAAAGTCTAGGTTTGTCATAGCTTTTCTTCTAAGGAGGCAAGTGTCTTTTAATGTCGTGGCTGTAGTCACTATCCACAGTGATTTTGAAACCCAAGAAAATAAAATCTCCCATTGTTTGCATTCTTTCCCCAGTTATTTGCCATGAAGTGATGGGACCAGATGCCATGATCTTAGTTTTTTGAATGTTGAGTTTTAAGCCAGCTTTTTCATTCTCCTCATTTACCTGCACCAAGAGGCTCTTTAGTTCCTCTTCACTTTCTGCCATTAGAGTGGTATCATCTGCATACCTGAGGTTGTTGCTATTTCTCCGGATAGTCTTGATTTCCAGCTTGTGATTCATCCAGCCCGGCATTTCACGT